AAGTACAAAACAGTGAAAATCATTAATAGGCAATCGTTCGATGGGCTGAATTGCACAAAACGCATGGTCGCACCTGCTAGTCTGGTGCGCGCTGCTATTTATTTGAGTTAGCATAGTACCAAGTTGCAAACTTTGACGCGATCTTACGCGCTGCACAATCGTGCGCGACAGCTGAATTTGAAATCTTTAGCTCGTACGTGCACAGAGCTTTGTACCTTGCCTATTTCGCCGAATCGTATCCTCTCAAAGAAATTTGCATATTTTGCACGCGGGATCTAGGCGTAAATGAGTGAAAATTTTTTTTAAGTGGGAGGATGACACACGGGGTAGGAATATACACCCAAAATTTCAGCCTCCCAACTTTCCTGGTTGCTGAGATGACAATGGATGACAAAGTTCTCTCACTTCCGAATGCACACACATAGACGACCTCTTGACAATATGCATTTCTGCTTGCTGTTGCAGCGCTATAGCGCTGCACAATAAAAACGCATAAAAGTGAATCTCAGTATAAACAAATAGTGTAATGCGTTTTTGCCGAAATGATTTGCGCAAATAAAACGACATCATGTGGAGAGCACGACTATGCGTGTATGCTTGCGCATCTGTCATTTTTGTGTAAATGTTTGCGTACTCGGAAATTCAAATCTTTGAACTAGGAAGCTAGGCGGCTAAAATCTTGAGAGCATAGTTCCACACCACGTTTACAAGCTATGAATCTGAAACCAACTCTCGACAGTATTTCTGTATGCCACGCTATTTTGACTTCGGGTTCAAAATCAGACTAAAGTTGTTATCTGTGGATCAAAAAAGCTATGTGCTACATACAGGCTTTGAAGCACTGATCCTTCAGCTGCGAGGAACGCCAAGGCCACCCCGACAGTCGATATAGGAATTCCGCTTCAGCAGTGTCACTGAGATGCTAGCACTTGCCAGTTATAGCTCTGCCAGATCCCTCAGTCCTAACATGCATACTTTCCTAATATGCATACTTTAGTACACATCGATAAAGCGCACCACCGTTTCGCATACTGCTAGGTGAGCTTTCACTTTGTCGCCGAACAACACTCACTGATGCGTAACGTCCACAGGACAACACGATCAATATGCCCTGTAAGTCGGATTTTACTTTACTGCGCAACTGCAGTAACACCCGGTCAATGACATCCTGCACATCGCTCATTTGGCGGAAAATCCGATTGCTCTTTTGTTCATTAAGCGACATTCCAACCATTCTCCGTCTTATCGCCTTCTCCGTCACAGCCAGCGCCTGCTCTTACGCATCCGTAAGCGACTATGTTTCTCATTCGTACTTCACTGCTTCCAGCGCAGCGTACTGGTAGAGGTGCTCACGATCCTTCGGGCCTGACTCTTTGAACACATCGACGATACTGCAGAGCTTGCGCCAACATGACATTTCTTCTGCTTTCACCATCCGACCGAGGACTACAACGCATATAGTTACTTATTGGCCAAAATGTGGATAGCCACGGACTTCTTCCAAGTAAACACCGTTTGTCTGCAGTCTTACCGCCAGCATTCAGTTATTTCTGGTTATGCGTTTTTGCTTATTTGCAAATGCGAAAACGCACATTGTGACGACTCCGGTGTGTGTGTGTGTGTGTGTGTGTCTGTCTGTCTGTCTGTCTGGAATTTCAACTGGGCACCCAAGCAGACTCCGGCGCCAAAGTTTTGCCAGTGAGTTCCCCGACTAAGTACCACCCCAGGACCGCGGCACCATCCCTCACGCACGTCTAGGCTCCGCGTACGAGTTTCTCAAAGTTTTGGAGGGAAAATCGCAAACTCGGGAGCCAGAAAAGCTAGAAAGCTGAAATTTTAAGGGAATGTTCCCAGTTCATATATAACTAAAATTTATCAAATTCAGCCTTCAGGCATGCGTGGTTTCCACGTACGGCCCTATGGAAATTTCTGGCGGTAAAATGGCTAATTTGGGAACCCAGAAAGCTGGGAGGCTGAGATTTCCAGGGAATGTTCCCAGCATGCTTACAACTTAAAATTAATAAATTCAGCCACTCTCCGTGCGTGGTTCTCACGTACGGCCTCGTGAAAAGTTTTGGTGGGAAAATGGCTAACTCAGGAATCAGAAAAGCTAGGAGGCTGAAATTTTCAGGGAATGTTCCCAGCTCATGTACAACTTAAAGTTATCAAATTCGGTCCCAGAGCATGCGTGGTTCTCGCGTACGACCTGAGATTTTAAGGGAATGTTAGGACCTGAGATTTTAAGGGAATGTTTCCTGTTCAAGCACAGCGTAGACAATTAACTTCCCGAAATTCGAGGAGCAGTATGTCACACATTTCTAGCTACTGGGTTTCATCTCATTAGAGCACGAAGCACTGCAAAAACGCATGATTACACGGGCTCGCCCAGTGCGCGTCACCAGTGATTCTGTCATCCGATTCTAAGCTTTGCTACACTCATGATGTTTTGCTATACACTTAATGTCCATAATCTCAGGCTCAAATTAGAACAATTTTTAAACTCGTCACTTAAAAAAGTACAAGTTACAAATTATATAAGATTTTCTCAAACAGTTCAAAAACAAATAACTTATACTTCCATATTACATCACTCTGTACACTGATCCACTCTTGCGTTCAAATTCGTGCCGGTTTTGTAGTTCCGGGACGGGCAAGCTAAAAACGAAAAATTTTACTTCATCTGCACAAGAAAAACTGAGTAGCTAAATCAGCTTTCAAAATTCGCGGTTTCATAAAGTGCATCTGAACTAGCTGACACCGGAACTGGACAAGTTATGAAATTGCCCTTTGGGTGTCTTGCATAGCAACCCTGGTGAGTCATCATGCCAAAATTCTTTTTGTTTGCTCATTCACTAACTGTATGTCCAAACAGCCAGCTTGTCGTAAAAGCGCAGAGCCGCAATAGCCCCTCATGCATGCCGTTGTTTATTTTCTGCCAGAACAGCTTTGTGTTCAATTTTCAAAATAAGACCAATGGCCTAGCATCCTCCGAAAAATCACATTTATAAAATTTTAAGATTTACGATATAATCCCAGTGGGGAATTGTACTATTTTCTAATTTAAAACAAATCAGTAGGCAAAGTAGAATTATTCAATCGCCGTCTTCTTTTTATGCGTTTTTTGTAGCAATGCAACGCGAAAAACGCATATTGACGAGAGGTTGTCTGTGTGTGTGTGTCTGTGTGTGCGTGTCTGTGTGTGCGCTGTGCGTCTGTATCGATTTTTCATCTCGAGACCCACAAAAGCTACAGGG